AAAAGGAAGAGGACGTGACATGAGGCAGAAGAGGAGATCGTAAATGTTGAGTCAAATTGGAGGATCTAAGATTAAGATTTGAAGATATTAAAATAGACAATGGCGAAATTGTTAGAGGACCTTTGTACTTGAAATTTGCCCCACTGATAAGCGTTCTTTGAAGGTGAAGTCGGTGTATGAACTTTTCAGTAAACACTGGACATTACGGAATAGTGTAGAACATGTTTTCCTCTTTTATTTTGTTTTATATTTACCGTGCTGTCTTTTCCGCTGATACTGCGAGGACCGATGTTAGTAACGAGTAATAGCGTTAGATGACGGGTAAAGCTCGCATCAGATCGTTTTGCGGTAGTGAAAGCAGAGGGTTGCGATGGATTGCAGACGTAAATAGGAGGACTGGGAGAACATTTGAATTGGATTAAACCTGAGATGTAGAGACCACTTGGATGGTTTACTCGTAAGTTGATATGGAAAGATAATATTAAAATGGTCTTCAAGGTACAAATGCAGGTTTCTTTTCGCGTCTTACGTCGAGGGGTTCGATAACATGGAAGTTCCTATGTTAAGAGTAGTTTCCGAAAAGGACGCAATGAGTTGTTTTTGGGGGTTTGGGTTTCTGGAAACTCTCCCCATTCAGCCTACGTCTTCGCATGCGTCAGGTACCGAGTTACTGGAATAAAATCGGCCCTGCCTTCCATGCGGAAGCGAGAGGCAGAAAACGTTAAAAACCTAATTGGTTGGAATACAAGGAATTCAAGGACCCGAGGAAATGTTCAAATTGGCCAAAATATGAAGATGGAACTTTTCACCATTAAACACATGACACAAGAAATCCAGGTCATCTTAAGCGGTGTTTACATTAGCGTGGTGCCACGTTTAATACACGGGAAAGTACTTATTTTTTCGCCTCAACCCGGAGTATTCACAGGCGTGGGGGTCAGTTCTGTGGTGAACCCCATGCAGGAACATTGCCGAAAATTCGGGAACACAGTCGCTTAAGCGGTTTTTAGATTAACGTGGTGCTACGGCGGAATCCTGAGGCGTGAAAATGCGAGGTTTTTGAAAGCCGTGACCAAGCTTTGGAGTGGCGTATTCGCAAACTTTTCCTACTCTCTTGCAAGTCATCATGCAATGTAAACACTGGAAAGTTCGAAACGTATTACACGCCTGGGGTCGAGTTTCTACGTGATAATTTCAGTCGCTCTTTCTTTTCTTTTTTGAGATTATTTTTAATATTATTATTGTCTCATTTTCATAGCTGTCAAAGCTTTGAGGGAATTTATTATTTAGACACCAATATGGCAGTAAAATTACAGACAACTGGTTTTTGTGTTCCAGGGTTTCAGTGGAGGGGCCGATTACCGACAACTTGTCAGACCAGCCCATAAAACATCGCGGAGCAGCGCTGCGACTGCATGCTGTAGAAAGAAGACGGTAGATATACTCAGGTAATTTCCTCTTTTCTTTTCTTTCTTCCTTTCTTATTTTTTTTTTGAGATCATTTTTAATATTATTATTGTCTCATTTTCATAGCTGCAAAAGCGCGGAGGGAATTCATTATTTAGGAACCAGTATGGCAGTGAAATTACAGTCAACTGGTTTTGTTTTTCAGGGGTTGAGTGGAGGGGCCGCTGATTACCGACAACTTGTCAGACCACCCCAATAGTCCAACTCGTTTGCACTGGCTTAACCATCTTGACCAGCTTTCTGGAGACCAGGCATTTCCCAGAGTTGCTCATGGCCTGATCAACCATGACGCAAGGGAAGCACTGGGATGTGACAGATAGTTGGGTGGATGACAGTTGGTGCAGAGTTGGCATGGGGTGGAATGGCATTGCGACTGCAGGCGGGAGAATGAAGGACGACAAAGCCCCTGAGACCACTGTCTGAATATTCTAAGGTAATTTTTTTTAGATCGTTTTTAATATTATCATTGTCTCATTATCATTGCTGAAATGCATGGAGGGAATTCATTATGTCGACAGCAGAATATCAGTGGAAGTACAGTTAAGTGGCTTCTTTTAAAAAATCCTCCTTTATATATACTGCTGCCATATAAATTTGAATTAATTTACCTGATAAATAATAATGCTTCTAATCCGAGTTGGATAATATTTTCAAGAAGAATATGAAGTACTCTTATATTTAATTAATTTGTTTTCTCTTGTTACATCAAACAGGAAGGAAACGTTCTACTTCGTGGAGCTTGAGACTGGAATGAGAAGTGTTGAAGAAGAGGGTCGAATGGAGGTCTGAGGACTAAGAGGGAAGCCTTGTGTCATTGGATGAAAGATGTCTGTGGTCCTACGGAAGCTGAGGTGGAGGCTCGTGGACAAAGGATCAGGGATCAGGTATGTTTCGTTTTTAAGATAGTGATCTGGGTGATTGTGTTATTTCTCTCCAAATGTAAACCTTCAAGTTTTATTGGAACTATAGATATATGAGTGAGGAGAAATTTTGTTTCTCTATGAGAATATAATCACTCACAAGAAGTTACGAATTCTTCTGAAGTTAATTTGAGACTGCCTGGAAATAGTAGCTCCAACAAGAAATGGTGAAGATCGTTTATACTGGTTGGGAGGGTTTCTTATGTTACATGTATTTTGAGTTACAGACTTTGCCGGAATTTGAAATGGAGGGGCGAATTACTGTCTATGGACGACATGCGAGACGACCCCACAAAGCAACTTGGAAGATCGTTGTGACCGCATGCATTGAAGGAAGGAAGGCAGTGAATAATCTCAGGTGATTTCTTTTGTATTAGTTTGGGATCATTTTTAATATCATTATTGTCTAATTTTCATTTTCATTTTTTGTTGCAGTTTAACCTGCAGTTGAAATGGAGGGGCAAATTACTGTCTACGGACAACTTGTGAGACCAACTCGGAAGATCGTTGTGACTGCATGCTTTAGAAGGAAGAGAAATGGTAAATATTCCCAGGGAACTTCCTTTCGTTTTTTTTATTTTGAGATAATTTTTAATAATATTATTTTCTCATTTTCATAGCTGTCAAAGCATGGATGGAATTCATTATTTAGACACCAGTATGGCAGAGAAATTACAGTCAACTGGTTTTTGCTTTTCAGGGCGTTCAGTGGAGGGACTGCCGATTACTGACATCTTGTCAGACCACCCCAATAGTCCAACTCGTTTGCACTGGCTCAACCATCTCGACCAGCCTTCTGGAGACCAGGCATTTCCCAGAGTTGCTCATGGCCTGATCAACCATGACACAAGGGAAAGCACTGGGACCTGACAGATCTCTGGGTGGATGACAGTTGGTGCAGAGTTGGCATGGGGTGGAATGGCGTTGTGACTGCAGGCGGGAGAACGAAGGATGACAAAGCCCCTTGGAACATTGTATGATTATTCTGAGGTAATTTCCGTTTTTTTTTAACGATCATTTTTAATATTATCATTGTCTCATTATCATTGCTGAAAAGCATGGAGGGAATTCATTATGGTGACAGCAGTATATCAGTGGAAGTACAGTTAAGTGGTTTTTGGGTTTAACGTTTTCAACTCTTTTTGACATAGGAGTTAATTCATGTGGTTTCTTTCAAAGACTCCTCTTTTATATATACAGCTGCCCTATAAATTTGAATTAATATACTTGATAAATATTAAAGTGTCTAATCTGAGTTGGATGGTATTTTCAAAAAGAGTTTGAAGGACTTTTATATTTCATTGATTTGTTTTCTCTGGTTACATCAAACAGGAAGGAGACTTTCTACTCCCTTGAGGTTGAGACTGGAATGAGAAGTGCTAAAGAAGAGGGTGGAATAGAGGTCTGAGGACTAAGAGGGAAGCCTTATGTCACTGAATGAAAGATGTCTGTGGTCCTACGGAAGCTGAGGTGGAGGCCCGTGGACAACGGATCAGGGATCAGATATGTTTCGTTTTTCAGAGCATGATCTAGGTGATTGTGTTATTTCTCCCCGAAAGTAAATCCTTAAGCTTTATTGGAACTGACATATTTGGGTGAGGAAAGATTTTCTTTTGCTATGAGAATATAATCACTCACAAGATGTTAGGAATTGTTCTGAAGTTAATTTGAGACCACCTGGAAATAGCTGCTCCAACAAGAAATGTTGAAAATCATTCGTACTTGTTGGGAGGGTTTCTTATGGTACATGCATTTTGTGTTACAGATTTTGCCGGCAGTTGAAATGGAGGGGCAAATTACTGTCTACGGACAACTTGTGAGACCACCCCCACAAAGCAACTCAGAAGATCATTGTGACCACATGCACTAGAAGGAAGAAAGGAAGGAAGGAAGGAAGGAAGGAAGGAAGACAGTGAATATTCTCAGGTGATTTCCTTTTGAATTTGTTTGGGATTATTTTTAATATTATTATTGTCTAATTTTCATTTTCATTTTGTGTTGCAGTTTTTGCCGGCAGTTGAATTGGAGGGGTGAATTTCTGTATATGGACAACTTGTCAGACCAACTCGGAAGAGCGTTGTGACTGCATTCTTTGGAAGGAACAAAG